TTTGCCTTTTCGCCAGATTTGTTGAACAATAAAACTGTCTGGTATTTGTTTTTTTTTGTAAAGCTAGTACTTAAAATGGTGCATTAATGTGGATCTGTGTAGCTGTTAGTGTGTTATTTGTGTGTGTGCGGTGTTGTTTCTTTGAGTTGGGGCGGTCTATGCGTTGGAACATGGCAGGAATTTCAGTCCACCCGTATCTCCGCCTCTGCCTGCCTCTGTACTCCACCACTAACCAGCTCTCCAGCTTCCAGAGCGCCAGTCACACAGCCCAGTCTATTGCACCATCTGCATATCAGCTCCTGCCTCGGCCAAAGCATTAAATTAAATCCCTGTTTGGGTTGATTAACAAATGGCTGGTGAGCTCACATAGTTACGGAGTTATTTATTTAATTGTCATTATGGCTTTTCCTTCTTTTGTCTACCATGTTTTTAGCTAGGATACATGAAACTATGAGAACAAAGGTGTGCCGGGTGTCTTGAAGGACTTTGTGTAAGACTGAGCAGTGAGAGAAAGTGTAAAGTTTGCACAAGTTTGTGCCTCATTCCGATTGTACTGGCTGAAGTTCAGCATGTGTACCTGTCTCCTTAATGCATTTCAATCTCACCGTCTCCCCTCTGTCCCGATGTGAACAGCTAATGGGTCTGCTAATTGAGTGACAGTTAGCGAGCGCATTGTTCTAATTCCAATCAGAAACCTTGGAACAGACACAGTCACAGCTGATTCATCTCTGCCTCTTACTGCTAAATCCACAAGCTGCAACTGGAAGATGTGCCAGCAAGATTTATTTCTCATAGAAATTCAAAATGACTTCTAAAAAGCCTGGCTCTGTTTCCGCTGCTTAGTTCGTGCCTCTCAAACACAGACATGTAAAAGAGTTCACCTCTTTATTTCACTTGTTTTACAGCAGACACATACTACTTTCATGTTTCGGAGCACTTAGATCTCTCAACTAGCGTTGCAATGTCCAAACAATAAATGTAGTAAAGAATGCCAACTAAATATAAAATGCAACATTTAGAAAGTACGGCTGAAGCCTCTAGGTCAGTTTACCTCTTTGCCAAAACCCCCAATTTTGAGCCCTCATAATTTTTTCTTAGTATTGTCAATCATACGTGTGTATAGGCTGCTCAGTGTGCTAATGGAAAAGAAACAACATACTGTTACAGGGAAACTGTTTCTATGCAGTAATCGGTGACCATGCCACTAGCCTTAGCATTCACAGCTAGGCAGCATGCTCTGATGTGTTAGCTGTAGCTTACCAGAGCAAGAGTAGGGTGTGAGTTGTGCATACAGAAGCTTTATTGACAGCGCTAAGACCCTCCTCCTGCCTCTGATTGGTTGTTTCTGACAACCAATCAGGAGTGTGTTTCTGCAGATGGCTTTAGGACCACAGTAAAAAGGCAGAGGAGCTTATTTTTTTTTCTCTCTGATTATCTGACTCATGTTTTACTGTCATAACATGGTGACAGATTAAACAATTGAGCAAAAGGGACATTATTTGTAAAAGTTACCTACTGCCACTTTACCTTGACCCATGGCAGATGGCTGCATGCCTGAAAAATTTGGGTACAAAACGACTGCAAAGGTCCAAAGTAGCAAAGCGGTGAAATGACCAGTAGCCACCACTGAAGCAGATATTGGTTTTGAACCAGCTGGACAATTAGGACTTTAAAGGGCTATGCCCTTTTTCATCCTTCAGATAACCTACGTGGTTTGCTCCGTGCTCCGCAGTGTAGTGTTTTCTAATTGGCCTGAAGGGAAAAGTAAAGTTGTGCAGAGAACTAAATGAAAGTGAAGTGAGGAGTCTGAGAGAGATGGTGTGGGAAGGAGACCGGCTGTTCTGTTTTCTCCAGCAGTCCAAACTAGAGACATGTGGCTCCCCAGACAAGCTGTCCAGAGTGGGAGAGCTCGCTGGACTCATTACAGGCAGGGCCAAGACGGGATAGCTTGACAGAACACCGTTGGATCATACGGAGAGTTGGAACGGTCGGAGCCGAATTGTTTTTAGCCCGCCTGCGTGTATACGCGCACCCGCCGCCGCGTTTGTTAGGAGCCACACGCGCGCAGACAACTGTCCGTCCCCTCTCTCTCCGTCTGTGCCACCCCTGGCTGCCCCCTCCCCCGCCACCCTCAGTGGACACGCAGAAACACACACACACACACACACGTGTAGCATCTCGGCCTGGCCATAAGGATCGCTTAAATGTTTTCAGTTGTACTGGACAGCTGAGGGATGAAGCGGCCAACCACAGGCTTCCATTGGTTGGACACCTCATCCAGAATCTGACTCATAGAAATGACTGGACGTGGACCAGCGAGCCAGTAGTCACAGCCAGTTTATAATAGTTTTATCAGTTCAACTTTTTTTCCTCATCCTCATCCATTTTGACAGTCCATCCATCTTTCTGCAATCCAGTTTGGAGTCGAGGAAAGTTCCTCCTTTCCAGATGATAACTTCAGTCACCATGATCTGTCTAATAACGTCGTGTCTTTTATTGGTTTGTCATCGTTTGTGATATGTTTTATTTCGGCTTACTCTCAGTTAACTTCTCGCTCTCTCTCTGTGTGTGTGTGTGTGTGTGTGTGTGTGTGTTTTCGTCTTGCCTCTTAGAATATTTTCTTCTCCCTCTTCCTTATGCCTCGCTCCAGCCCTCCCGTCCAACCCCTCTCACGGCACTCTGTTTATAAGTAGCAAGTGATCCAGAGAATATGCTTTGTTCCTGAAAGAACAGGAGAAGGAAACGAGAGAGCAGGAGAGAGTGGGTGGATTTGTGAAAAACAGAGAGAAGAGAGGAGAGGTGTGATTCTGTAGCCTTAGTGATACACTGGCACCCACCAGTGTGTTTTTCCTTTTCTTTCTTTTTTTTTTTGGTGTCCCTCTGTCCCTGTGTGGCGGTTCGTTCTAGTCACCAACGCACCGTCGCACACACACGCACACACACACACACAAACATGCAGCACCCAGAGGTACCGGCGGGGCCGGCGCTCGCATGGTTCCTTCGGCAGAGCAGGTGTTTTCCTGCGACGTGTTAACGAGCGCGGCCTGCTGTCATTTCTGCTTTAAATGGATGTCACAAATAGAACACAGACACTCTGACTGTTCTCTTCTCCTGGATAATGAACTGAAAACAAGGTGATCAGAGCGGGACACAAACCCCTTTAGTCTAATGCCCCCGAAGGAAACCCAGTTCAGTCAGTTGCCTTGAAAAGTCACCAAATTGGTGTGTAATTTAATCTGAGTGTGAATAAAGATGTTCTGTGAGGGCCTTAGAGGTTCCACGTTTAACAAGACATCGCTCTGCAGCAGTCACACACGGTGGTGGCAGTATCATGCTGTTGTCATGCAGTAGGGAAGAGTTGATTGGAAGCCGAATGGAGTACAATATAGAGCTAGTCTGAAAAAAGGTTTAGCTTTCAGCATAGGCACAATGCTAAACATTCAGCCGGAACTACAGGAGAATCCTATCTGAGCTTTTAAATTTGCTAGAACGGCCTAGTCAAAGTCAAAACTTAAATCCAACTGAGTTTTTGTTTTTTGAACCATCTCTTCCCAAACTACTGCTATTTTGCAAAAGAATAGTGGGCTAAAATTTTTAACATCTAAATGTCCAAAGCTGGTATATAAATACATCCAAAAATAGGCCTGGATGTTAAACTGTCCCAGTAATTATTGCAATGAACCATAACATTACTGCTTTGAGACCATCTTCAAGTAATATCTGAATTATGGCTTAATAATTTAAGCTCATTAAGCTTTAAGAACACTTAGCACAGGAACTGGAAGATATTTTAAACAACGAAAAAACAATAAATTAGACAAAAATAAAAACCTCACAATCAAAACCGTGAATAAAATGGATTATGAGGTCAAAATTTGCATTCATAGGGAGTTGAATACAAATGAACCCCACAACTTTTAGACTTTAACTTGTAAAAATGTTAAAAAATCATGTATAATTTTCCTTCCATTTAACAATTATGCACTACTTTGTGTTGGTCTGTCAGTTAAAATCCCAATAAATAAAACCGAAGCCTGTGATTGTAACCTGACAAAAATCAAAAATCTGTTGCTGGGTGTGAATACGTTTGCATGTCTCTGTGCAAACGTATTTTGTTCACCTAAAGTTGTGCACAGAATAATTTATTTTTGTACTCATTATTCTAAAAAAAAAAAAAAAAAAGAAAAAAAAAAACCTGTGTGAATCCACATCTATGTGCAGTTTAACCCCCATGTGGCTCCATGTTCCCGGTGTATGTTATCCACCACCATGGCGTGGTGTTTGACACTCATGTAATCCTCTTGTGGGTTGGCTAAAAAGGCCGCGGTCACTCACCGGTGCCAACGCGCAGTCGGATAATACTTTTGTCGGCAGATGCACAGCAGATGTTCGTCGTTGCCGCTGACATCGAAGAAGAATAACTCCTTCATGTGTAATCCTATTTGGTCTCATGTCACATCATCTCATCCTGTGTCGCTGCAGCTGACCAGTGGTTTGTGTGCATTAGTGTGTGTGGTGGAAGGGTCATCACCTCAACACCTGCCCATGTATCAGCCAGATGATGTTTCTGGCATGGATACGTTGAGTGTTGCGCTGGTAAACATGTTTTTTTCTTTTTTTTTTTTCTTTTTCATTTTTTACACGATAATCCGATCTGAATCTGGCAGGCGTTGTGGGAGCTGTAGAGATGCTGTGTGTGTATGTGTGTGTGTGGTGTGTATTTGTGTGTATAAATACTACAGTGTGTAAAAGTGTGTGTCACATAATCAGAACAGATGACAGTTGAGCGGCTCTTAACCGTCCGGGGAATAAAGTCAATATTTAAATCATCCGCATCATTATTTTTGTTGTTAATCCCACTTTCCATACATTATACTGATTAACTGTTACAACCCTGAGAAACATCACGATCCCTCATGATCTTCTATCCACAGTGTTTGCACCAAGTATCAAAATATGCGCTTATATTTCCCTCTCTGTGTGTTTGTGTCTCTGTCCAGGTGAATACATAAAGAACTGGCGGCCACGTTACTTCCTGCTGAAGACAGACGGCTCCTTCATCGGCTACAAAGAGAAACCTCAGGATGCAGACCTCCCTTATCCTCTAAATAACTTTTCAGTAGCAAGTATGTTACAGTGACATTTACACACTGCCACAGATCCTTTACTCTATTCCTGTTCTGAGCTGCCGATATTTGATTTCCAATTTTGGAAACTTTGACCAGTCAATTCCCGATTTAGACTCAATAAAACCCCTAGTTAATGCATTTAAAGTAAAGTTTTTTTTTCGCCCTTCCTGCACTCTGTTGTCATTAAGTTTTTAGATCAGTAGCAGAGATGAAAGTGCCCTGTTGAGGTGACATGAGTGTAAAATACAGTTTTACCTTACTGGGTTTCTTACTATATTTACATTTTAAGCCATCTTAAACATTTTAAATTAGCAATTAGCGCGGGTTAGCATCGCTATCAGTAAAACTCAGTCGGTGTGTGTATTCTGTAGAGAATGCAGCCATTCAAATTTTTGAAAAGAGGGTCGATCAAGCTGAAAATGTGCAGTGTTGCTATCTGAGTTTTCTGTATGTCTGAACTAAAAAAAACGTTGAAATGAGTGAAATTAATCAGAGTGCGTGAGCCAAATAAACTTTCAACACTCACCTATAAAATCAGAGAGCTTTAATTATGCACCACCTCTCCTTAAGGCATCGCCAGCACATGGCTCTATTCCTTTTGTCCTGCCTTGGAGAATATAGACTGTAGTTTAAATGTGTGTTTCCACTGCAGAAAGTTTACTTTGTCTCGTCTTACCTTCCATTTCATTTCCTTAGGAGTAATAATGACATCACAACCTGCTAATCAACCTGTTAAGTTTAGAGAAGAATCGGTGCAGCTGGTTTAGATAATCTACCAGATTTCTAGATCTGACGAAAATTATAGCCCTTGTTTTACTCGGTGTAATATTACATCCATCAATGCAGTCATTATCTCTGTCATCCATCTTCACAGCGTGGTGGTGTGTTACAGGATCCACTACATCCTCTAATTGGATGTTCGCTGTGTGTCAACACCTGGTTAGCAGACTCCAGGACATTGTTGACATGTTTAATTTTCCAATTATTGTCCCACCAAGACTGGCTTAATACATCGTTTCCAGCATCACCTCCTTTTGTTACATTAAATATTTTCCATTTGGTTTTGGATATGCAAACTAACTTGGTCCATACCTTGAAATCAAGTGCGTAAGCTTATGCAACGAATAACCAGACAAACGGAGGCTTGTTTGTCTTTGTAATTAAGGTTTTTGTATTTGGAGAAAATTGACTTGTGCCTGTTAAAAACATTTGTAGTTGTGATTTAATTCTGTGCAGTTTGTGAACATCTGATAAAAAGCAGAAATGTATATATGAAAGTTTGCTGATCACCACCAGAGAGATTGGACAGTGACTAATGAAACTGGCCAATTAGGATAGAGATTGTGAACTATGAAGCAATTCGTCTCCTACTCTTTTTATACAAAGAAGTCTGATCAACTAATAATCAATGGTCAATACACTATATATCAGTGTTTCTACAATGCTTTTGCTAATGAAAATGATGGATTATGAAATCTTGGTTTGGATAATTGTTCTGTACCAATAATTTACATGCAGTGAAACTTATGTACTGTACTAACAGAGGTATCTTTATTTCCCAGAGACTATGAACACAATCTCTCTTCCTATTGGCTGGCTTGATTGGTGATGGTACACTCAGTTGGGGGCAGAGGTGCCCATATATCGATTTGTCATGAACAATTTATTTTAAGAATTTTAATTTATTGTTCTAACAATGCAGTTTTTTTTTTTTGTTTTTTTACAACCCCCCCCCCAAAACTGATCATATGATCAAAAATTTTATTTTTGTTCCATGAGAATATCAGGAAATATGAGTTTAGTAATACAAACAACACTTTTTCTAAGTGATATCCTGAAGAAATATAATTCAGATGAAAATGTTTTATAAGAGCAATATTTCTGTTTTTATTGTTATGAATGCTATGCAATCCTGTCACTCTCCTGCAGAGCTTTTTAATGCCTAAAAATAAGTAATAGTTTTTTAATCATAATCTAAATTATCATAATAGTACCACAAAATATTGCGATAAATTTCGAAGTCCTCTCCTAGTTGGAGGTATAATAAATCTGCAAACTCCACACAACTTGATCAAAAATGAAGATATGTTTTGCAAACCCAAAATACACAAATTTAAACTTTAAACCAAAAAGCAAAATGTTGCATTAGTACTACAAATGTTAACTCTTGAGATTTTTGTTTCTGGGTTTACAAATATACTTGAAGCGAAATTCAACACCAGTAAAGCTGGTCAGACGAAGCAGATGCTAAAATGTTTTCAGCTTAAAATCCTCCCCAGGTTTTCATTCGCAGAGATTACATTTTAATTATTGTATATTGTTTAAATATGCCACTTCACCCAACATCCATCTCCTAATATGTAAACGAACGCTTATCATTTAGCAGTTTAATCTGTGACACGATTATGTTTTTTTCTGTTTTGTGAATGTAATCAGACATCCACTAAGCTGATGCAGATGTCACCTTCTACGTATACTGTAATTCAGCTTGGGTCCTTTAGATATGAGAAAGAAAGAAAAAATGCTCTCAATTACTGTCTTTAAATTAATCAAAATGAAACCAAAATCTGGCTTAGTCCGATAAAATCAGATGGCTTCGGGAAAGTTCCATGTGATTAATCTGCGGAGTTGAGTAGAAGACGATATAGAAGAACCGGCTGCTTGAGCGCCAAAACAGAAAACACGATGAATGGCGGATTATAAACCAATACCTTAGAGAAAGCGAGAAAGAAACGGTACACCGAAGGACACGGGAGGAGGGAAGGAGAGAAGGACGCGACCCTGGGAAGGAGGACAAGTATGGAGAATGAGGGATGGGAGAGGATCAGAGGTGGCAGTGGAGGGAAAAAGAGTGGAAGAGGAAATCTTGGAGGAGTGAGGATGTAGATGGAGGAATGAAAGGAGAGGCCTTTTATGGATGAGGTGTGTTGGAGAGGGAAGGAGGAGTGCTGAACAGACAGAGAGGAGGAGGTGAGCACCGGGTTGGAGATGGAAGGAAGAAGAGGGAAAAAAAAGAGGAAAAAGAGTTTGCGCGGAGGACAAGCCAGGCCATACATCCGGCCCCGGCTGCTTGGCACAGCACCGGCTCCGCCACATCTGTTGCCCAAAGCTGGGAAGCCAGGTGGCGTGTGTGTTCCCTGTGTGTATTTGTTTACTTGTGTGCAGACGTGTGTGTCTATGCGCATTTGTGTGTGCGAACAACAGAAGTGGTCAGATGGAACAGAGATGGTACAGGCCTGTTCCCTGCAGAGGGACTCATACATACAAGCTTGACACACACGCACACACACGCACACACCCGCTAAACTGCTACACAGACCTCACCGTCGCCTGCTGTGGCAAACAACCCAATTTCAGCTAACATTCAAAGTTCATTTTACATAGAGTTGCCTGTGTGTGTCCATGTGAGGACATTAGGTTTTGTTTTGGCACCAACAATAGTGTGACCTTGTTTACTGGCAGCGCAGCAGGCCCTGTTCACGAGTCAGGTAGCAACCGCTTTGTTTGACTTAACATTGAGGCGCCGCTGCGTGGATGACCTGGGTGGTTTTGCCATTAACCTTCCTGTCTATATTTAGACTGAGCGTTGACATGCTGGGCTGGGCCACGCTTAAAACAAAGGCCTCCTTCGTGATCTGGGAAACGTCCGAAATTTGATCGATCAGATTGTCAGGTCTGGGCAAAAATGGGAAAACAAAAGCTGGGATAAGCATTTGTCTTTACAGACTTCATTTCATGTCCCATTGTCTGAAAGATGTCCTTCCTTCTAACATACTTTCTTTCATGTAAAGAAAGTATGAAAGTAGGTTCCTTTCATACTTTCTGTCATGTTTCTTTCCTTCCTTTTCATGCTCTTACTTTATTTATTGCGTCCATCCTGCTTTCCCTCCATCTCTTTCCTTTAAAAAACGTTCATTCTTCTTTTCCTTCTTTTCTTTCTTGGTTGGCCTCCTTTCTTCTTTCTATCCAACATAGTGTCCTCCTTCCCTCCTCCTGTCCTTGTTTCCTATCTTCCTTCCTATTGTGTAACTTTCCCTCCTCATTAACTTCCTATCTTCCTTCCTTATTTTTTATTCTTCAGTTTTATCTTGTCTTTCCTTCCTCACCTTCTTTGGTAAATCCTGTCTTTTATTCCACATTTCCTTCTTTCCTGTTGCTCTTCATTCCTCACTTTCTGTCTTATCTCTTATGCATCTTCTTTTATTCCTTCCTCTTTTCTAATTAATTCTTGTCTTTCCTTCATTCCTTGCCTTCTTTCTTCATTTATTCCTTAACTCGACACTTCTTTGAACCCTTCTGTTCTTTGTATTCTTTCTTCCTTTCTCATTCTGCCCTTTCTTCCCTACTTTTGTCCATCGTTACTATTGTCCTTCCTGCTTTTACTGTTCTTGTCTTTCTCTTTCAGTCTTTTCCTCCTTCCTTCTTTCATATCCTGTGTCTTACCTTCCTCGCCATTTTTCTTGTATCTTTCAAGTTTCATATGTAAAGCACACTCTGTAGCAGTGCATGTTTTTTTCTTAAAATTCTGAACAAAAACACAACAACTGGGAACTCTGACGTTTTAGGTCTGCAAATGTCTTGAATGGAAAATGTAAAAAATAAAAGACGAGGGCAAAGAAAGTGTGTACAAATCCTGTTGAGAGAAAGTGATAGAAGATGTGACGGACAGACAGGAGAGATGAAGGAAGCAGAGGCTCTGATCGGACGGACAGGAAGTCAAAAAGGAGAGCGGAGGAGAGGGGAAATGAGGAGAGGAAATGAAGGCTGAGCCGTGTATAACAAGCGGGGCAGATGAGAGGACAGAAGACGGATCGTAATGCTGTTTTACACCACTTCATGTCCCTCATAAGCACAGAGACTGCTGAGGGGACAATGAAGATGCATTCCTTCCCACAGCGAGCTCACAGCCCCATCTGGCTCTGTATGCCGACGTTTCTGTGTTTGTGTACTGTATTATGCTTCTGTGTAATAACGGCCTACTGGGCTGCCTGTTCTCATAGAAATGTGTCTCATCGGAGAGCCGCCAGATGCGTGTGCGACGCAACACATAAGATCCTTTGGCACAAGAAAGCAGCTTTTTTTAAGTTATCGGCTTTCGGAGTGATTTCCTATTTTTACACCAACAAATTAAAACACGAACTGTGTTCTCTTCATGACAACTTGTTGTTTCAGCGTAAGACTCCCAGTGAGTTTCCAGCTATATAGAGGCTGAAGCCAACATTAAAGTACTTTAAAAGTTATCATGCAGGGCTGACTGGAAAAAGGTAGATTTATTTCTTTTTATGATATGTATTTTACATAAGAATTAGAAACTGAAATGCATAAAAAAACTAACTTGACAATTCTGTTAAGTCTACAATAAGTGTTCAGAATAGGTTTTACTTCTTTCAATTTTCTTCTTGACATTTGAACTTCTTATAAATTTTGCTTTGCTCTTTTTATTTTGCATTTTGAGGATAAAATCCTTCCTCCAAACAATTCACCACTTGGGCTTTTATTCCAGAATGCCAGCTGATGAAGACAGAGAGGCCGAAGCCAAACACCTTCATCATACGGTGCCTTCAGTGGACCACTGTCATTGAGAGGACCTTCCATGTGGATTCGCCTGATGAACGGTTGGTTCCTCAAAAGATTAAATCCTGAAATATCACAGCATATACCTGCTCAGCCTCACTTTTAGCTGTGTTTTCTCAAAAAACACCGCTGTTGTTTTGACACTGATGAGCTGTAGTAAGAGGAAGCAGTATGGCGCACCTTCCCCACTCAGCTCCTACAGACTAGCGGCAGCAGCAATTAGCAAACACGTTGTGCGACTTCGAGTGTGCAGACCACTTCTTAGTACAACGCTCCTAAGAATGTTTGCAAACGACATAATGTGCAGGAGACGGAGTGTCAGAACAGGAGCTTCTTAAAGAGACAGAGGCACAACTTCAAGGCGTCAAATTGTGAAGTCAGATTTCCTTTATGTCATGTTTGATATATACTGCATTTTGAAGGTAATATAGTTACTTGATTTGGCTATAAAATGATATGTACCTGGAGAATACATAAGACTGTCTGTTTATCTCTCAGGGCTGAAGTTTGGTAGCTTCCTTAAATTGTACCTGTTAGAACATGTGTGGGAACTGAGACTTTTTTTTTTTCCTTTGGAAAAGTTTGAGGAAGCCACTTTGAAGTTGAACAGATTTAGTTCACAGGATTGCCATTTAATTAAACAAAAAGTAGAAAAGCAGCAAAAAAAATCTTAACACAGGTTGGTAAAAATAATTATATATATAAAAAAAAACACTTAAAAATGAATATTTCTTAGGATAAACCATAGAACAAATACCGGGTGCAATATATTCAGCAGCATTAATAGGAGCAGAGGTATGTATATGAAGGGCTTCACTGTAGAGAGTTTGTGCTTTGTTGGTGTCTGAGAGAGAGAGACTGAGTGGAGAGGAGACCTTTCAAGTGGTGTTGGCATAAATTCTCCAGCTGCTCAGTTCCTTTCTGAGGAGCTGAGGTGTTTATCTCCAGAAAATGAACAGCTTTGCCCAGAAGACCACAGATGCTTCTGTGCACGCTTTGAGGTTGCGTGTATGTATATAAGTGTATGCGTGTGTGTGTGTGTGTGTGTGTGTGTTGCAGCTGTCCGTCCAAGTTTCTCCTCGTTATATGTTTTTTGTTGAAGTTTTTCCTCCGCATCATCAAATGGAGCTTTCAGAGTTAAAATAAATCGCATAACTTCCTATTAATTAGCTTAGAAAGCGCGTGTCTCTGGCAGCAAACGCGGCTCCAGATGTGTTTGTGTTTTGCTGTCGATTCGGAGTGTTTGCACATATTCAGCGCCACTGAAGCAATAAAACTCAAAGCTTGTTGAAAAGAAGAAAGCAGTGTGTATTGTGCCACAACTGGGTGTGTGTGTGTGTGTGTGTGTGTGTGTGTGTGTGTGTGTGTGTGTGTGTGCGTGTGTGTTACTGTATGGGGCTGTTACTGTACCAGTGCTGGCAGGCCTCCAGCTACTACAGCCCCAACCGTGCGGGGAGAGGGTGGCACGTATTGGCGCGGTGCCCGACTGTAGGCAGGCCCATTATCTCTCATTAGCAAAAGGGGAAAAAAAATGAGGAAAAGAGGCTCATTATACAAAAAAAAAAAACACTTTAACCGAGAAAGAGCATTTATCTGCTGCCTGACCTTGAGAGAGTTCCCATTGCTTTTCACATAGCCCGTTCGCACAAGCACACACACACACACACACACACACACACACATCATCACTCGTGCCACAAATTAACGCTCCGCTGTCGGGGATGGAGCGCAACTTGAGTTTGCCCTTGTTTTTGAAGTGTCTAGGATACGCACTGGAGTCTTTGCAGAAGAAAGGAATATAGATCTTAAAGCCACGGCGCTGCGTTTAGGTTTAGACGATCGATCCTGTAGAACCCTCAAAGGAACATATGGGTGCTTAACACAACACAAAAAGAAACAGAGGTGATCCCCGATGAGTCAGGCACGTCTCATTGATATTTTTCTCATTGGGACTTCAGTGCAGGTAAATATATTTGAAAATGTTCAGTGTCGCTCCTGCAGAGTCCCGAGGATTTAGAAATGCTGGAACATGTGAACATCAGGGCTGGACATGAGATCAGCTAACATTGCATGAAGAACTTTGTACTTGGTTGATAAATTGGTATGAACTCATCAATAAAACTATCATCTGCAAAATGTAATTTTGCTGAATCCAACGATTGAAGAAAATGTTCAGAGAAACAATAAAGATCAAAATGCTAAGTTCAATATCGACCTGCATCAACTCAGTAAAAACATAGTACATGATTGATGTACCTGCTTTTAAAAACAGTTGACTTATCGTTTGTATATAGTCAGTATGAATAATATAGTTTTATTTATTTATATAATGATTTTTTTTCTGTTTTCTGCTCTATTTTGGTGATTATTAAAAATGAGAATTTGTCCTCAATCAACTTGAATTGTAAAATAAAAGTGGATTTAAAACTAATTACAAAAACCATAGACATGTATTGTTCCTACAGTGTGAAGCAAAATACTACTTCATCATAATTAGGACTGAGTCGATTCATTGGATTAATCAACATGAATCGATTATTGAAATAATGTGCAACTAATTTAGTAATAGATTAATAGTTAACTGGACTAAATAGACAGAAAAAAGGTCATTTTCTGAAAAAGCAACCTACTCAGAGTGGTAATTAATCCAAAGTTCAATCAATTATTTATTTAATCAATTATCAATTTATTATTTGATTAAATGAAAAACTAGTCACCAGATCAGCCCTACACTGTAATAATGTCAAGCAGAAGAGCTTTTCACATGTTGATGTTAGAATATTTTTAGCTGCGTCCTTTGCTACAAATGATCAAGCACACATTAAAGGAATGCTGTGGCTTTGCATTTTAGGCAATAAAATGTTTACTTTATTATTTGAACAAGCACTTGAATTTTTTTGTGTGCATATTTTTAACATATTTCTAATATTGTATAAAATAAGCCTTGTTGGTTTAATGGAAAATCTCCAGAAAGTGCCAACTTTTAAAAAAAATCTGATTAATCTATTAATCGTCAGAAAAATTGACAGAATTATCAGTTACTACATTAATTGTTAGTTGTCGCCCTGAAGTATGTAAACATAAAATACATCACATGTTATAACCGATATAATCATGTGATCCATAACAATTAACTATTATTTCCATGTATGCAGACTTAACATAACCACTTACTAAATTCAGTCGCAGTCGGAGCAGAAAGCTCCAACTTTTTACTGCTCCTCTCAGGCGTCCATCGTCTGAATTTCTCCTCTCCTCTGCGGCGTATCAGAGCGGAGCGAAGCACTGCCCTGTGTATGATCCATGACATTCATCATTGTTAAAAACCCCGTAATGTGTCCACACATCCTGTTGCACGGCCGGCCTTCTGTTGCAGAATCCCATCTCCACACACACACACACACACACACACACACGCACAAGTGCAGACAGTCAAACTCACTCGCTTCCTCCCAACAGATGTTGAACAGCACTGCTAATGGAAAGTCAATGGGGAGGAACGATGTTAGCAAACAACAATGCATTGTTCCCTCTGATGGATTGGGGTGTGTTGGAGCACACCCGCTCACCATCACACACACACATACACACACTCGCGCGCACGCTCACAGGCATTAGTTCTGCTCTTTGATCATTGCTCATCTGGTTGATTCTCTAGCTGACCGTGTTTTCTTCTCTGTTGAACAAATAGGTGTTTATGCTAATTAAAAACACTTAAGCAACCTGAAAGACCCGGTTTGGGAAATGCATCAGTCACCCAATGTAAGAATGGGGAGGGGGGAGAGAATGGTTTGACCCGTCAGATTTTTGGGGTTGTTTGGGTCTGCTAGAAGTTTAACATATAAACCATTTAAGAGCAGAACGTCATGCTGAAAACAGGCAAGAAGCTTCACCGGAGCTGAAAGAAATGAATAACTGTCTCCATCACCAGAGATGAGTGGACAGAGGCCATCCAGATGGTGGCAGACAAGCTGCAGAGACAAGAGGAGGAGAGGATCCAGTGCAGCCCCACCTCCAATATTGACAACATGGTGGAGGAGGAAATGGACATCTCCACTACACACCACAAACGCAAGGTGCTGCACACAGTCGTAATGCACGTCGTCACAGCTGTTTCTCTGCTCCACTTTAAATAACTTTTTCTATTTTAAAAAAATGTAATTGGTTGGATATTTATATATTAAAGATCTCCCAATTTTCAGGTTTCTATTTATTTTATTTTTATTATTTATTAATGTACAGTTTACAATGTTTTTAGTTATTTTCATATTCAATAGGGTATATTTTGTTTCTGTGCTGCTGTAGCAAGTGAAGTTAATAAATGACTGTTCTACTCTATTTTAATTCTGTTTTTTTTTGCTTATTAAAAGCAGATTGTTAGTGATAATAATGAATAATTTGCTCCCAAACAGTTCCTCAAATTGTAGCACTGTATTTACTGTCCTATAGGAGCATGACCTGATTTACAGCTCCACTTGTGCTAATAAGATGTTAATTAACTTCAGGCCATCACTATCACAAGTAGACCTCCTCACACAAATTTGGTAGAAATTTTAATCATCTACTTTTATTTTCGAGAGTCTGTATGATTGTTACCTTAAGAAAATCCTCTGTGATTACATGTGTATTGCTGTAGCTTTAAGCTATTTTGATACTGATGGATAATTTATTTATTTTTTTTTGTTTTATGTGCACCTCCTGTTCAAATAAAAATGAAGTTATAGATTTTTTTAAAACATTTCCCAAAGTGCAGTTCAAAACAGAAACTCTCTGTGCTGCATCCATGTAAACTAGAGAAACGAGGGAGTGGCTCACTTTGTTTTATGTCGTTTTTTAATTTAAAAAAAAAATCTATTCTTCTTCTCTTCTGTTTTCATCAAACTTCTAATGTAACCTCAAGACGTTAGTGACTGTGAGGAAAAATAGACATTGTTAATGACAATAAAATTATCTATTCTTTTGGAAGACGTTTTAAACTCATTTCAAAACATCTTCCTTTAAATGTCGGCAAGACTTCTCTAACGTGACTCATTATGACTGAAAACGGACACAAAAAAAGCTGGTTTCACAGGCATTTATTTAACAATTCAGTAAAATAAAAAATATTTCACTCTTGTGCTAATTACTATCTCTGAGTATATTAAATGTCTCTGACTTCTCAACAAGCCTACAGCGTCTTACTTTGACAGCGACTCTTCTGTGTTTCACAACAATAGACGATGAGTGACTTTGACTACCTGAAGCTGCTGGGGAAGGGAACATTTGGTAAAGTCATCCTTGTCCGGGAAAAGGCCAGCGGGAAGTATTACGCCATGAAAATCCTTAAAAAAGAAGTCATCATAGCCAAGGTTTGTCAAATGAATTTGTGTAAATAATATTTTGAGGCATTTCTGCATCGCACACTGAAAATGGTTTTATTCCGTGTTGCGTGTACAGGATGAAGTTGCTCACACACTCACAGAGAGCAGAGTACTGAAAAACACCAGGCACCCTTTTCTCACTGTAAGTATCTCATACATGCAACAGAATCTGTAGTATCAAAGGACAGATGAATATTTTATGGCTAATTTAAATTTGTTAATGCTTTGGTCTGCCATTCTGTTCTTTTATGGTCTGCCATAAAAGAACAGAGTTTAAATCATTATTACAATATTATTATCTATCGTTCCTGCTGTGACCAGACATTACGTATTTAGGTTAAGAGCTGCTTTGTGAGAGAGCAGTCGCTGTAAAACTGGGTTTTACTATTATTTAAAACGATTACAAAATTATTAATATTCCCATGTTAAACTTCCTTCATTATTTTACATTTGTAAGTAGTGCGGTCATTGGTGTTAGCATGACAGCACCAACGCGACAGTTCCACCAACTGGACCACTGTGACAGAGATCTGAAAGCTCAAAATAATAAAGCAGAGCAAGTTAAACGTAACACATCCAGCCATCCTATTGTCTACTGCATGTACTGCTCTCTCTCACCCTCTTGCAGCCTAAGTGAACAGTAAACATGTTGTAGAAATACAATTTCCTTTCAAATAGCTTTTGACTCTATGTTTAACAACATAGTGATAGTGCAAATGGTTTCCTCTGAGTCTTCTCAGTAACTGTGTCAACACCAGAGAGTGTTGCAATCAGCAAAACCAGGTATGGAGTGTTATCTGAATTAAATTTTCAAGTTTTCCTGCCAACTGGCTGCTGGTTATTGCTGGTTATTTCTTACAGTGTCTCCAATATGTGCGCATTGATCATCAGCGTATCTGACCTTTCTGTAGACGGAGCACTGCCATGAGTCGTTTGGACTCGATTGATTTCGGTTGTTGGCTTTTTTTTTCGTTCTCTCACCCCGTCTTTTAACGTACACAAGCACGCGGATGCGCATGTTCATCAAGGGAACAATTATAGTTCATATCTGCGTTCACCCCGTCACACCTGCAGCCACAAAGAGACGGCGACCAACTGTTCTTTTGCTCAGCAGCCTTTTTCCCTCAAAAGAAAACACGTGCACGCATCCAGTCGACACACAGACGCACACACACATATAGTCGAACGGTACTTTCTTTGAACAGTCGCACAGAGGCATAAACAGTTGGACGCTAAGTATGATGATGTTTTGTTGTGCCTGCTGTCTTGGCTACAATGGGACTAGAGTTCCACCTGCGCTCAATTGTTCTCTCACTTCGCTGTTTACTTTAGGGTGAGAGGATGTGGGGAAAAAGATGTGTTAAACAAGCAAAATGAAAATATAGGTTTGTTAGCACTCGGTTTATTGATCTGTAACAGGTAATATTTGTGTGGATGCTACTATATTGTCCAAATTCCCCAAAGAATGATCAGCTCCTCTGTGTATTCTTAGAAAAAGGAGAGACTCAGTAAATGCAGGTCTGTACGTTGGGCTTTCCCACTGAATGCAGCTGTGTTTGCAACAAACACACACATATAAATGCACTTTGTTAAATTAATTGGAAATGTGTCTGTTTTCTTTCTTTTTTTTTTTTTTTGTTTCAGTCGCTGAAGTATTCATTCCAGACTAAAGACCGTCTCTGTTTTGTCATGGAGTACGTGAATGGAGGGGAGGTAGGTTTCATACAAACACTTTCGTGGTTAGCCGAGTTTATGTTGCTGCTTCAAACAGCCAGTTGAACCGCAACCACACCACAGCAACCGTCAGCAATTAGCGCTCCGCTCACTCTGCAGTCAACTGACTCCACACTGTGATGAAGCTAGGCAAAGCTCTTAAATGTCTTATCAAAATGTTAGTTTTTTTTTCGGGGGATGAATAAAGCAGTTAAAGTTAGTTTTAGTGCACTCAGGATGATGCATGTGATTTGAGAAACCACATTTAAAATGAGAATAAAATGACTGAGCTACAAAAATCTAAATCCTGTAATTTGTTAATTTGCTTGAGTTTTTTTGTTTTTTTTAATTATTAACAAACGTGTGTAAATCAGCCGTGTTGCAACCACTGACCACCTTTTATTCTGGTGAAAATGAAGAAAACAATAATAAATCCTGAGTTTGACGTCAGGAAGACTAAAAAGCAAAAATGGCCGCTTTTGTCGCCTCACCCCAAATTTTGGTGTATTTTGTTCAGATTTTATGTGATACACACACACACACCAACATGAAGTACTTTATTAACAAAGTTTAGTAAGTTTGTGTAGCAATTATTGTAAAGTGGAAAAAATTGTACATTGTACACATTTTTTGGACAAAAACAAATCTGAAAAGTGTGGCATGCATTTGTCTTTCCTCTGTAATCCAGTACCCTTACATTTATTTTTCTTTTTTTATGTAACAGGGACAAATATACTCAACATTGTTTCTTAAAAAGAAGTAGAATGCTATAGCAATTAGTTATTGCTAAGCCCCCCAATTCAGCATACAAGAGTGGGCCACAATTCCTCCTCCAATCTCCACAGATACTGAATGGCACTTCTTACATCCAAAGGTGGCAAGGTAGACTAGTTGTTCTAAGAAAATCATAATTGGGAAACTGTTTTTTTATATTTACTCAGATGATCCGAGTAAACTAAAAACGTGCTTTACGACTGGAAACATGTTAAGTGTGACACAAAAAGCAAAAACAGAAGAAATCTCAGGGTAAATACTCCTTTAAGGCACTGTGCATACAGCTGTTCATTGGAGAATCGCAGAACTTTTTTAGTCATGAACAGTATAAATCCACAGCAGTGCAGCAAAAGAAAGCACCAACACTCTAGAAGGGGCTAAAGTTTCTCTGTTGGACTCTTCCTAGCAGTTCTTTGCCAACCAACTGGCCTCTGTCTTGCCTCCTCATCTTTCTTTTCTCTCCCATTCCTCTGCTGCTCGTGCCTATTTACAAACACACCTAAGGGGCAGACAGGTAGCCCGAATGACAGTCAAAGAGGAAATGAGTTTGGATTCCCTCACTTTTCCATTTCTCAAATTTTTAATCGGGCCATTTTTGCAATCTTGGTTCATTCCCTTAGTGCAACTGTCACCTGCTCCCCTCCCAGTTAGTTATGCGGCTCAGGCCGGTGCCAGGCTTGAGCAAACACACACAAAGGCAACACCAGCAACGACACACATGGAGGACATTTTTACCTAGATGGACAAATTGTGACCACGCATGCCACACGAACACATCCACTCACAAACCATTACAAACCTGCCACAGTCACAGCTGCCAGTGCACTGATGAAGGCCCACCTGTCGTTTCTACCCCTCCCCCTCATCCTCTCTCTCACTCTCTCTCTCTTTCTCTCTCACGCATAGACACGAAAGGCCTTTGAGCAAGGTGGTCTGTAAGCGTCACTCGTGTCCATATGCAAACCTCCCTGTACAATTAATGGGAGACCTGTGGCCTTTGGCCTCATGGGTAATTTGTACAACGTGAGTGGTATAGCACAGCAGGCGTGTGTCAGTCCGAGGCCTCACATGTGTAGCCGTGTGTCAACTTGACATCTGACAGCGAGGGGAAGCGTATGATTTCGAAAGTGACATTTTCAGACTACTTTAAAACAAATGTGCATTTCGGTGCCTGGAATCAAATTATGGAATAGTTTGGGTGAGGATTTGGAAAAAAATGTCCTACTTTAAACCAATTTAAATTACTCTATAAGAAAAAAAATGATTGTCTTATACAATTTTTAACAATGAGAATGATATATTGTTTGAAGGTTATAGTCTTCATTTTATATATGTGGCCAGGAGAGTAAAAAGATTTATTTTGTAATTGTTGAGAAAGGGGCAGGTTTTTATAAGGTTCTTCTTCTTCCTGCTGCTTTTCACTCATGCGGATGAATTGTTACAAGACAATGTTTGGTACATTAGTAGTGTAATGCGTTTTGTTAAATGAATAAACTTATTGATTGATATATTAAGTTTTTACCTGCAGCTAGTGTGAATTTCATGCTAACAGCCCTGTGAGAAATACATTTATGAAACAAAAACGAGGTTGTGTTCGGTACTTATTTCCCCCATGGTATGAGGTAAACCCACATGGGGGGTTAAAAATGAGTTGTTTGGTATAGAATTAGTCTCGTTCCAACACCAGATGTGAGAACGTAGGAAATAAAGATGGAGGCCCAAGAGGACGAAGGCGGTTAGGCCATTAATGAGTGCTGCAGCGGAGGCAGGATGGCGAAGGTGGCGGCGTTGGCTGTGGCAGCCATCGTCGCTCCGTCTTTAACTGGAATGCTGTATTGATTAAACCCGTCGATTTGGCCCCCATCGCTCCTCGCCAGCGCCATGCCAACGCAGCCCAGAGGGTAACATGGAAGAAGTATGTGCAGTACGGAGGGTAGGTGGGTTGGGAGGGGCGGTGGGGTACTAGATGAGGCGCCAGCTGCCGGGCGCCTCCACCAACCCTCCTCCGAGACGCCAGCCCCCCCCCCTCCTGCTATCACTCTCCCCTCCGCTATCTATCATCTCAATATGGTGCGGGCAGCCAGTTTGTGTTGTGCTAATTTCCTCCAATAAATCAGTAATTATTGCTGTGCCGTCCCTGCTGTCTCCCCCTCCCTTTACCCTTTCCCCCCCCCTTTTTTTTTCTTGCTTTCTTTTTTTGCTTACTCTCACCCCTCTCTCTCCCTCTCTCCTTCTCCTGCAGCTGTTTTTCCATTTGTCCAGAGAGCGAGTGTTCTCGGAGGAGCGCACGCGCTTCTACGGCGCTGAGATTGTCTCGGCTCTCAACTACCTGCATTCAGCCAAGATTGTGTACCGGGACCTCAAGGTAAACACAGCCAAAGGAGTAAAAAGAGGAGGCTGGAGGGGGCACTTTTTTTCCCCTTTACAGCTCCACAGTTGTGTGTCTTTCGTCTATGTAGGTTTTTTTTTTTTTTTTTTTTTTTGTCCAGGTTGAGACAAGTGTTTCAGAATCGGTTGTAATTAAAAAGTGGGACAGAAACCGACACAAAGCAGAGAAGATGGGGAGGGGGAGATGCTGATGCCACAGAGGTAGAGAGGTAGATTGCTTCGTCTGAGCGCCTGCCTGGCAGCCTTGGCCTCAGACCTGCTGACAGCAGCCAAGAAAACGGGAGGGGAAAAAAAAGAACGAGAAAAGGCAGACGCAGAGTGAGAAAAACACTTCAGCCATTAAAATTAAAAGGTTGAGTGGCTCCACAACATGCCTGAAGTTTATTTCCCTCATTTGTTCAGAGTTGTGTGTTTTGAGCACGCCTGCTACTGCCTTGCACACTGCTGGTGTTTATGTGTCTGCCTCTGCTCTCCAGCTTTGGAGAGGTTAAATCTTGGCGTCACTGTCCACACAATTGTCCTTGATCTGTCAACAAAGCCCTTCACTGTAGGTATTGTGGTACTTCTCAGTGATGGATGATGACAATCGCTTGTGTCTTTTGTTTTGGGTCCAGTTGGAAAACCTGATGCTGGATAAAGATGGTCATATAAAAATCACAGATTTTGGACTCTGCAAGGAGGGCATCACTGATGCTGCTACAATGAAGACCTTCTGTGGAACGCCGGAGTACCTCGCTCCAGAGGTAACGCTTTACGCTAATTGTTGGTGTAGCTTTATTCGCTTTTTGGTTTCTTAGTCTCCTCTTAGTGTCTTCATTTAAATGCATTACTTTTCTAACTTTAACAATCCTCTGTTGAATCCTCCTGTTTACCTGTTTTGTGTCCTAATCGTACACCTATGAATGCAGCTGACAAAATATTAAGTGACAACATCTACCAGAACTATAAAATATCTCCTTTTGGAATCAAAACGGGCGAGATTTTCTTTCTAAACGGATTCAAGACAATTTCAGTGCCTGGATTTTGCAGTATCTTCCATATTTACTGGCTCTCCAGGTAAAGAAGTGTATAATAAACTCATCTTTTATTGCAGTGGGCCTGCTATTAAAGGCATATGTATATATTCAAAAGAAATGGCCTAAACCCAGCCTAGACCTGCGAATCAATCTACCATCCAAAGTCTGATGGATAATGAGACAGAGAAATTCTCTGTGCCATTTTTTTTAGTGTCTAGGATTATACTACTGCAATAACAAATGACTTGATTCATGTCTTCTTTTCATATTTATTGAGAAAGGTCTTGAATGTAACAACCAAACGTCCGGCTTTGGGTCGTTTTTGCATTTCGGACCAGCTAAGAATGGACCAGAAACAGTCTCACAGTATAGGTAAAGGTAAAGGTTATTTATATAGCACATTTTCAGCAACAAGGCAGATCAAAGTGCTTATAGTACAGAAGCCTTGAATGAAATGACAATATTTTAGAGGTTCATTGTTATCACTGTTCACAGAAATAGTGAAACAAACATGCATGTGATCTAAACGTGCATTATCAAATGGGTTTTCATTTGATAATCTACATTATATGCAGCTAGAGTAACACTACAACATGTTATTTTGTTACACATTGAAGTCAATGTAAGTATGACAAGTTAATATTAGCTGGTCTCTGCTCTGGTAGCTAGCCCGCTAGAGAGAAACTTATTGCAGTATCAACGTTTGCAATATCTCAATAGCAAAGAACTGCTTAAATGTAACAACATATTATATATGCAAACACCAAGCATGCAAATTCTGCTTGTCAATAATATATTTGACCTGTTGCATAGACTATCGCTGCCTTTGACGCCCAAACCTGATGGATGTTTTTTAGTGGATGTGATGCTGGGTGAAACTGTGATGAATCAAAAGAAAGAAGGAGAGTCAGAAAATGGAGGTTAATCATAATCGATATTCAGTAATACGATCAGAATTATTGGTTTTCTTTATATCCTCACTGCTTATCAGGAAAACGTAGTTTCTAAAAAAAAGGTGTTAATCTAATGAGATTGATAGCTGATGCTCCTTCGGTTTACACACCGTGACTGTTTGCATTTTTCATAGGTCCTCTGTAAAACAGCTTGCCAACCAGCTGGTGGCATGGCAACTGTAGTTTAAAGCGGCTTTACTTAGACGAGTGGGATGGGCGGGGCTCCTTTAGTTTTCCAGTTTTGCTACAGGTAAAAACCAAATAGCTTTTTTCCCCCGTGTCAGTATGTGTAAAACATCAAAGCGTGATCACAGTCAGCTGACCGGCAGTGCTCAGCAACAGGTGGGTGGGACGTAGACGTAGCCTAGGATGAGCTACGTCTATTTAAATAATCAAGATGAGCCACAGATGAGATAAAATGAGCTGCATATGAAAGGTAGAATAACAGATGTGACATGAAGTGCGGTTGTAACACGTTAGTGGAACGTGGTGACTAAGCAGTGATGAATTTCTTTCTAACTCTGACAGCACCCACCCTCTGCGTAGCTTTAATTAGCTGATGAGTGACACCGTCGTCAGGGGTCTGTTCCGTAAAGCAAGCAGCTTTACTGAGGCCTTGTACGACATCAAAGCATCTGTGGCGTCCACGGGGGGACTCGTGTCGCTCGCCGCACAGCAAATGTTTATCTAACAGCAGCCCCGTCTGATCGGCTTAACCGATACTTTGATAAACGAGTTATAGGTTGGTAACTAGTTACATTTTCATGGGTAACCTTTTGGAAAATATATCACTTTTAGGAGTTTTTCTTTTTTTTTTTTTACTAAGCTGTACTGTTTACTTTTAATTGAGTAACTTCTTTTTTGTTTTATGAAGTATGGCTACTCTTGAGTCGGCCTATCATGATAACAAATTTAGCTGGACGATAAATTGTCCCAGAACTTATTGTGATAAATGATAACGTAATATTGTAATGAGACCATTTCCAAGTAATATAATGGTAATGGCATAATAATGCAAGAGCACATCCTCAAGGATCAGTAAATTGTAAACACTAGTGAACATATAACAGTGGAAGCCCTTTTAAAATAAAACAGAAAGAAAACATAAATAATTATGAAGTGTCTGCAAACAAAATTATCCTTTCAAAAATGGGTAGTTGAGACCAAAGCACCAGACTGAAGACTTTTGCCATCCAGTTTTTGGTAGGAAAAGAGAAAAAGGATCATTAAACGCAAATGGAAATTGCTGAGCTCGTTTTAATGTGTCATACGATCAGTCGATTTATTACGACAGGAATACTGTTGAGTAAAAACTTCTGGATTCTCCACCGACTGTAACTTCACTGTATAAAGAACAAATTTGTTTTAACCAAAAAATCACCAGACACAGAAACACAACTGCAGTTTGTTAAATTTTCATACATTTTATATAGAAAAAAAATTTTGATTTGAGAAAAGATGTTTCATTTGCACAATTTTAGTTTGAAATGATGTCATTTACATATGAATTATTTTCATTTTGACTTTTAAAATACCAAAGACAATCCATCTGGTGTAATTTTTAAATATTTAATGATGTACTTTATACCAAATAGTTTTTCACTCGAGTCTTTTCTTGGACAGCTACTTTTACTAGAGAACAGTTTTTGGGTACACACTAATTTCCGGTGGCTCTCCCAAACACATATTGTGTTTCCTTTTGTGAGTATGTTTGAATTCGTATTTCTCAGACTTCATAATATCAGGGTGAAGAGTAAATATGCAGCTCCTGAGTGTGAATGAGGGTGTTGCTGGTTGAACTGGAAAAGGGCACACAAACACACACACACACACACACCAAAACAGCCACACTCTTGTACTTCTTTTTTTTCTTCTTCTTCTTCTTCTACTTCTGCTGCCGTACGCTGTCCAGCCGTCAGCGCTGCCTCAGCGGGAGGCCAGCGGATCAACTGGCGAGATGGATGCGGGGGACTGTAGGTGGTGGAGACGGAGCGATGGAGATGTGGATGTAAAGACAGGAGGAGAAAAGAGGCAGAGTGTAGATCCCACTCAAAAAAAAAAAAAGTATGGAGGACAATTTGGCGCAGCATTTTGTGCCTTTTTTTGTAGTCCCTTCCTGTGCGTGCCAAAAGCTGATTGGAGGCTGTTGGTTATTTTTTCACAGGATGTGCGTCTCTGTGTGCATTTATGTGTGTGTGTGTGTGTGTGTGTCAGTGCTGTGGAAAGTGCGGGCTAAAGCGAGGCAGATGGCGGCAGATGGGCGAGGTTGGAGGAAGGTGCTCGAAAAAAAAAAAAAAAGAAGAAAAAAAAAAACCCTGGAAATCTACACCACCGCCACTCGCCCGCCCGCCCGCCCGCACACTCTGCTCGCCCGCGTGTAAAAATAACACGGTTCGCTCGGAGCCAAGTTACAGAGATGCAAAGTAGCCGGGATTAAAAAGAGGAAGGGGGGCTCAGAGAGGGGGTGAGGCGGGGGCCTGGAGGAAGACGAGAAAATATTTCAGGGTTACAGGAGTGGAAGTCGGATGGTTCCTGCTTTTTCGCTGTCTGTGGAAAGGGTTCAGATGAGGAGTGAAGGAAGACCGACTCACTGCACCACTGAAGACGCTAAGCGTTAGCTCGAGGTGTTGTTGTTTCAAGGATGGCCACAGTAAATAATAAAGAAAAGAAGAAAAACGTCAACGTGAGAATAATGAACAGAGAGATGGGACACGTGGGGAGTGTTTTCTCTGCTCTTTCCTCCATATTTTCTGCGTTTGACACATTTCTTTGTGGCAGTTTTGCAAGTGTTAAAAGGGGGTGGATCTGGTCCCTTTCCATTCCACTGCGTGTGCGTTTCTCTTTTATTTTGGTGTGCCGTATATGTGACCTTTCTACTGTAAATGTTTTACAAACATAGCGGCGCACTCAGCTGTTAGCGGAACATTTGAAAAATGCTAGCAGATTGTCAGGGTAGACCCGTTTCCAAATAATGACACTGTGCAGAGAGAAGGTCTGTGTCTGACATCAGCAATATGGGATTGTATGGCCACAGTATATGAGGTGTGTGTGTGTGTGTGTGTGTGTGTGTGTGTGTGTGTGTGTGCGCTCCCCTGCTGGCTATCTGTGCTGGTGCAGCCACAGGCGTTGTGCGCCTGTCCCATCCCGTGTAGTCACGCCCGCTTTGCCAAAGCCCCCCGTCCGGCGGACAGCAGCTAGCTGCCACATGGCGGCCCCAGTGGGGACCGGGCCGGGTTGGGACGGGTCAGGACCTTCTCCCTCTCCGCTGCTTTTAATCTCAGCTCCATCTTTCCTGTTGATGGTTTAAATTGTCCCTAACTCGTCTCGTCCCATTTATTTGTCAGCTCTGGCGCTAAATTGTACACACACACACACACACACACACACACACCCCGATGCCTCGGCGCCTGAGGCTGTAGGGCAGCATTCTGGCTCTGTGTGGATTAATCTGCTCCCTGCCTGCAGCCGAGCTGCCACCACCTCCTTCAGTCATGGGTCAAACTAAAACACACAGCTACATGCACATGCGTACAGAGCCTTGCAAAAAAAAAAAAAATGCTTCCGTTGAACTTTTCTTTGTGTTTTGTCATGCCGCAACTGCAAAGTTCAGTGTATTTTATTGGGATTTTATCTGATACTAGTAGTGCATAATGTTGGTGTTTGATAGGAAAGTGAGGCATCGTTTACTCGTTTGTGTGCATGTATTCAGCAATTTCAAAAATACTTTATTAAGTAAATTTATTTACTTTATGGAGACTGAGGAACCTATCAGAAAGGCCAGGAAGGAGTTTGGAAACCTGTTTGTCCATGTAATCTGAGAGGCAGAGCAAGGAGAGCGTTTGTCAAAGAAGCAGCCATGAGGTCAGCGGTGACTCTGAAGGAGCTGCAGAGATTCACAGCTCAATAACAGATCTTAGCTGTCCACTTTAACAGATGTGGCAAGAATAAAGCCATCGCTGGGAGACAGAGGAAAGAAGTCGTATTTACGGTTTGCTGCAAACCATGTAGAGGAAAACGGTTCATCTCTGCTCAGGTTGAACTAAAACTCAAGTTTTAGGCTTTTTTTTAAACCAGGTTTTCGTACAGGGAAACATGGTGGTGGTGGCAGCATTATGCTGATCAGGAGGGACAGGAAAGCTGACAAGAGTTGATGCAAAAAAATTACAATTTATGCTTTTTATTTTTTTATTTTTTTTTTAAATCATATTACATCATGTGGAGGAAAGAAATCGACTAAACGCCTTGGCGAGTGAAAAACTGATTTATCTACTTCTCTGTAAGATGCAACATACAGTTCAGAGTAGATTAGCACCAAAAGCAGCCCCCCCCACCCCCCAAGCTGCTCTGAATTTCATAAACTGCAGCCCTCTGTGTGTGTGTACGTGTGTGTGTGTGCACTGAAACAACACCAAACATCTCCCAGTTTGCCTCACTCTCCAAACTTTATGAATTTGATGAGGATGGATAAATATTCCATCTGCCGTGTATGAGTGTGTGTCTGACAGTCTCCCAGCAGTCTAAGCCGGTGTTATCCCTCCAGCCGTACCAGTCAGAAGTGTGTATCTGGAGCTGGCGGCGCGCTTCATTCCCCCAGCTCTTCCCTGCAGCTGCCAACTGGGTGACCAGCTTGATTCACACGCAAACATATTCACCCAAAAAAAAAAAAAAAGAAAAAAAAAAAAAGAAATCGGTCTCGTAACTCACTTATTTACTTCCACACGCGGTGCCTCGCAGGAGAATTAAGACCACTTCGGCTTTTTTTTTTTTTACACATTCTGTCACATATATTTTATTAGAAGTTTATATTATAGAGCCGTACGAAGCAGAACATAACTGTGAACTGGTAGGAGGAAAAAATAAATAAATCATTGTTGAAAGAAGTGAAGAGATTCGGTTTGTCGCAACAAACATGGGGGACTTATTGACCTGCACGCAAAAAAGCTGGATGTGTGGCAGGAAACTATCAGTGCACATAACCCAGAAGAAACGATAACAACAGTAGAGCACGGTGGTGGCAGCATCATGCTAAGAGAAATGGGAACAATATCGTCTTCAGGAACAGCTTAACTGTTCAGAGTTGATAGTGGAGCTAGATAGAGGGAAATACAACAGAATGGTTTAGATCAAACCATATTCCCGTGTTCAAATGGTCCAGTCAAAGTAGAGAACCTAAATGAAATTTGTGATGGTAAAGTTCATCTTCGCATGAGCTGGATCTGTTTCACAAAGAAAAATGGGTAAAAAAAAAACAACAACAAAGTGAGACTGTAGATGTGGCTGAATACAAATTCACGGCACACTTTTCATGGGTTTTTTTGTTAAAATAATCTGAGAACCACGTATTGTTTTCCTTCAACCAGGTATCACATAAACTCAGATTAAAATCTCAAACGTCCGTCATTTCAGGATGAGACTTAAAGGCGCAGAGAGGAAACAATAACAGCTGTTTCAGTGAGTTTTTATGTTTAAGCTTGAGACTCGAGTTATGGAGGATGATTATAAGGTGTATTTTTTTAAAATCAATACCCACAATAATCATATTTGGTTTTGTGACTCTTTAAGCTGGAGTTTTTCTCCGTTTTGACGAGGAAATATCATTTATCTTATATTTTCAGAGAATCAGGCCAAAATATGAAGTAATATAAAAGCTTCAGAAAACTATAGCCCAGATTCAATCAATTTTATGATTATTTTATAATTCATACTGTATCAAAATACTAAACTACTGAAAGAAAGGAGCTGATCTGAAATGGGTCAGTACATGTGTACAGAACGGGCTTCATTGTGATCATGAAATGGCAATTAGCCAATTGGAGAATTGAACCTGAGGCCAAAAAAATGACAATGAAGCCCAAAAGTTTCAGCTGCTAATCTTTAGACTTTTTTTTTTTGGTTGCCAAATTCAACGATACAGACGTTGTTTTGTAAAATAAATTTTAAAGCTGAAAATGTGTTTTCCATTCATTTCTACTTATATCTCTATAAAAACTAGTGTTTGTGTCTGAATGTGATGGTCTCACTTGTTCACCTTTTCGCATCAGAGCAGATTTAAATCAGACAGACGGATTACGTTTAGGGCGCCGCTCGTATAGACGTGTCTGTCCTCTTATCCGTGTGTGTGTCTGCGTGTCTGTGTGTGTGCGTTTCTATATTTGTGACGGCGGTCCTTCCTGTCTCCTGCTCCCTGCTGGCGGTGCTTCAGCGTGTGCCGCAGTTCTGAATCTCCTCCTGTTGTGACATCTTCGGCGTAATTGTCTGCTGTAATTGAGAATTGTCGCGTTCTGAACAGGTTTTCTGTGAGTGTGTTTGTGAATGTTTGCGTCCTTGTGTCTGACTGGTCCATTAACAGTGAGTGAGATGTTATTATTATTGGCGTGATGAACAACATATGCTGTTCTGGCTTCTCTCCAGCTCTGTCTGTCCGTCTGCCTGTCACACGCGCTCAGGCACAACACATACACTCATCATGGTAATAAGCTTATTATGGTAATGAGGGAGTCGACGGCACCTGAGTTACCTCTGTTCTCGATGAAAGAGAAGGAAGGAAGACGTGAACAGAGGATGGAGACGGGGGAAACTGCCCAGATAAAGACTCTGATGTAGCGATGGCTTTCTCCCACGCACATCTTTTTCTCGGCAGATCTTAGGATTCGGCAGCACCTGCGCTGCCCAGCTTAGAGGTCAGAACAGCCTTGACTCCGGCTGAGGGCCGTTCCCTACGTTTTCCCCCATCCAGGATTCTTCCTGTCCGTTGCTGCCAGGAGGGTTCGGTGGTCCAGGAAGAGCTGGCAGCTTCCTTACTTGTAACACAGACCTCTGAGGGGCCGTATGCCGCAAAGACACTAAATCTTCCCAAGTATTTTTGTCTTGTTTCTAGTGTGAATATGTTGGTGCACTGGAAATGACAACAAAACTAACTTATAAGTAACTTTTCAGTAAGATAGAAGAGCCTGTTTTAAGTCAGTAATTCTTCAATATTGATGAAAAAGTCATAAGTGAAATACTAACACTTTTGCATCAATATTAAAGAATTATTGACTTAAAACAAGCTCCTGTATCTTGATCAAAAGTCATGTGCACTAGAAACTAGACCAAAAATGGATTTTGTGTTTTTACAGTGTATGCACCTCATGATGTTTGCTTCCACTCACTCCTAACTCCCTGGAAGCATCTCGACATACTTCCTGTCCAGCCACGCCTCTTCTTCTTCATCTGTCTCTTTGCATCCAATAAAAATGACTAAACGCAGATGTCCGATAAAACGAACGACCCCTCTTAGAAACCGTGCATTTCTGTCCCTCTCCCCCTCCATATCCGCCGCTGTCCTCAGGTGCTGGAGGACAACGACTACGGCCGTGCCGTGGACTGGTGGGGGCTGGGCGTGGTGACGTACGAAATGATGTGCGGCCGGCTGCCGTTCTACAACCAGGACCACGAGAAGCTGTTCGAGCTCATCCTCATGGAGGACATCAAGTTCCCGCGCACGCTGTCGGCGGACGCCAAGTCGCTGCTGTCTGGCCTGCTCATCAAAGACCCAAACAAAAGGTGTGGCTCGCTGGTCAGAAGAAGTCGTCATGTATTAGCATCTTTAAACTGGATCGCAATTTAACTTTATCATGAAAAAGTACTGCACTTTTTATGGCAGTAGAATAATCCCACCACAATGAAATGTTTTGAAAAATCCAAACTTCAATCTGCACAGCAAGAAACCACAAAATCTTATCAAGTATTTTTGGTCTAGTTTTCAGTCCAAAATCTTAGTACACTTGAAATAAAACTAAAGTAACTTACGAGTAAATGTTCAGCAAGACATACGTGTTTGTTTGTTTTTTGTAATTTCTTAATATTGATTTAAGAGCACCAGTTCAACTGGCAGATTATTTCGTTTATTATAAGACTTTTTTTTTTTTTTACTATACTATAAGGGAAAATCTGCCAGTAGGACAAGTAGTTTTTAAAAAAAAAAAAAAAAACTTTTTCTAAAACATTATTAAGGTATTATTGACTTAAAACAAGCTCCTAAATTATTTAATTTGTTTTATTCCAAGTGTCCTCATATATTTGCACTAAAAACAAACAAAAAATGTTTTGCATTATGAATTAAAATGTAATCAGGATGGATGCATTTCTTTTAGAAAAATCATCCCATACTTTTCCAGATCTGAAAAAAAGGGGGACAAAACCATAAATAAAACATCAGACTTTTCCAAGCTTGTGCCATGCACACTAATGAGTTTCCCAAAGGAAAAGAAACGGATCCACAGCATCGCTGATTCTCTGCTCTTCATATAAGTGGACTTGAGGTGGTTTTCTACTCCTTCATCCTTTGTTTCATGCCTTTCAAGTCTCAGTCTGGTGCGACCAGAGCACACAGTTCCAGTTAAAGTCCAGGGAGCTTAGCAAAATCTACATGTTTTATGTTTGTGATGGTAGCATGGAAAAGGTTTCTCTTCTGACGTCACTTCACCAGAGTCTCAAGAGTTTCTATGTTTGAAATAAAACTTTTCATTCATTAGCTCAGGTTTTTGCACTCTCCGGTTCTGATTCTTCATCTCCAGGCAGTTGCGATTGTGTTTTGCTTCATCACTTTAGTAGAAATGAAGCGCTTTGCTAATCCCGGCTTTTGTTTTGTTTCCCTCTCCCCTGAACCAGGCTCGGGGGCGGACCAGAAGATGCTAAGGAAATAATGAGGCATAGTTTCTTCTCTGGCATCGACTGGCAGGATGTTTACGACAAAAAGGTACGCCACGGTAAAAACTGTGTGGTTTACTTCAGCCGTGGTAGCGGCTTTCTCTCAAGCATAACAACATCCTTTTTTTTTTTATGCGAGAGATTTATTGAGCTACTTGTCCGTAAATTCTGCACAAAGGTCAAGATTGCGCGACAGTTGTCATGCAGCAGATCTATAGGAGGAGCCGACAAGCAGCTGTTTAAAACACGCAGCGTCACGAAGAGGTGTGACTTTGTCTCCTAAGAATCAGTGTTTGCTCACACACTACTGAGTGAGACTCGTGTCCCGTGAGGCAGCACCTGCGGCGTCTTACGCAGGTGCTGAGCTTCCTGCCTCCTCCTCGCTGCGTTTTTCTCCTCCTTTTCTTCTCCTTTGTGTTGTTATTCATTTATTTATTTATTTTTGCATTCGTGAAGCATTTCAAACTAACTCGGTGACATGAACACCTAATCTGAGGTTAGAAAGCAACAAAACGCTGTGGCACTAAATGAGAAACTATAAAGATTAATACCATATGTAGTTTTTATTTTTAGACCTGTGCAGTTGAGTCACAAAAATGATGTGATCAACAACAACAACAAAAAAAAACTATCAACACTTTTTGTCCAAACTGCATATTGGTGGAGTTTGCAGGAAAATAATATTTACGTGTCCGACAAATTTTCAGGCAAAAAAGTCCTACCTGACTCATAACTGGTTAATAGGACTCGGGACATAAGTGCTGATTAGGTCCCGTTGATTCATGCGATTTTTAATCCGCTAAAAACTTTAACGCAATTGATCTTTTTTTTTTTTTTTCTTAACAAGCGTTCAGACCAGAATCTTTTGCATTTGCTCGTTTCTGGTACGTTTGCAACTCCGACGCACGAGCGACAAAATCAAGCAGCCCGGTGCTTTTGTCAGATACGAGAACGTCTAAAAACCTGTCGACTCGACCAACCGTCAACTCCATGATCTAAAACCGACAGTCGTCTCTGCTGCACATGTGGAGCACTGATCCGATGTCTCCTCTTTGTCCCAGCTCGTCCCTCCCTTCAAGCCTCAGGTGACGTCGGAGACGGACACCAGGTACTTCGACGAGGAGTTCACGGCTCAGACCATCACAATCACTCCACCAGAGAAATGTGAGTCCCTTCCATGTTTTCTGATCCTGCCTGGTGTACATGAATGTCCTGTGTCGTCTGAGACAAGGTGTCTAAGGGGGGGGGAAAAAAACAGTACTTCCTGTTTTCAAAATAACTGCATGAAGAAATAATCAATGTGTGCATCTCTGTTAGTCCTCCGGCCACTAGCACTTCTGTACACACTTTTAAGAACATGCTGCTGTTTTCAGTGTGTTCTGCACTGAATTATGCATGACTGATCTGCAGCTCACACAGCACTGCAGGAGTTTCCCACATCAGATGCATGCTTATTAATTGAATTGTTCTCAGTTTACTTTTTCACCACTAAAACAAAACTGAATATTATTATTGTCTTCAACAAAACAACAAAAAAAATCTTTGAAATTTTTTCAGATTTTGTCATGTGACAACGCATAAATCTAGATGTGTTTTACAGAGATTTTATCCAATAAACCAACACAACATGGTGGGGGTAATTGTGACAAGGAAAAACAAAACTTATATAAATAAAAATATAAACATTCACCTTTGACTCGGACTGTGAAACATACATTTTTCAGTCTTGCCGTGGATTTCTAAATAGGTCTGGACTTTGTTCCATTCTAACATGTAATCCAAAACATTCCATTGTAGCTCCGGATGCCCACAGCATAAAATCTTTAAAAAAGTTCAGGCTGAAAACAAAGGCGCACCACACTTTTCAGATTTCCATTTGTAGAAAATTTTGAAATCATTATAATTTCCCTTCTGCCTTACAATTATGCACAACTTCACAACTTTTATTTAGAGTAAAATCTCAATAAATTACATTAAAGTAGGTGATTGTGACATGACAAAATGTGGAAATGTCATGAAGGCTATATGATACGAATACTTTAGCAAGATATGCTGTACATGCGCTGTTAAAATTATATATATATATATAAACAAAAGCTCAGTGCAAACATTCTTGACATTATTTACTACTTGTGAATCTTCCCCTCATTAGTCGATGAGGATGGAATGGACTGTCTGGACAACGAAAGGCGACCGCACTTCCCGCAGTTCTCGTACTCGGCCAGCGGGCGAGAATGAACTGTCCATCACGGTGACATTGTCACAGCTGGTCTCTGAGGCCGCCAGTGTGGGACACGAAGACCCCGCAGCTTCGGACCAACCCAGACTTGAAGGATTTTTGCCCTTTTCTCCTCCATTCCTTCGCTTCAGTCTGCTTCTTACTTTATTTATTTGTTTTTCTCTCTCTTCCTCTCTCTCTCTCTTTTTTTTGTTGTGAATCTCTTCAGAGGTCAAAACCTCGAGGCAAAATCAGAGTTCACTCCTGCACTCTAAAGTGCAACGCACGCGATCGGTTGACTTTTTTTTAACGACCCTTTAACGACGGGAGCTTCACCGGCCCCCTGCTGTGCTTTGACACCTGTTGCTCTAAAATAAAATAAAAAAAAAGCCCAAACTACTCTAAGATATTAGCCGGCGCAGTTTTCAGGTAGTGTTCGTATCTGCGCAACAGCGATACTGCGCTTTCAGTTGTTGGAACCCAAACTGCCATAGCGGGTCGTAACTCAGGCTTTCGCGAACACAAACTCGGAGAGACGTTTGTGTTTCGCGACACGTCGTCGGTTCGGTGATTCCGGGACGGACTGAGCAGCGTGGGGGGGCCCCCCCACACACTCCCTCCCTCATGTCGTCAAGCAGGATTTGACTCAGGTGTTGCTCAGTGCAAGTGATGTTGTTGCTGCTATTTCAACTACAACCACAACGACTACAGGTACCGCTCTTCTTCTACTGCTACTGCTGAAATCCGGTGCTACACCTCCAGCTAACCGTTACCAAGGCGACAGCTAAACGCCCCAAACTATGCTCGTCCAGCTGCTACCTTTTACTCTGCTGCTCTTAAATGTCATCAACCGATGATCACCATGGGCTTTTCTTTTTGTCGCAACTCAAAGCACAGCAGTTCAAGCAGATGAAGCTCCGGCTAATACAGTTAGCTTTACTACGTCACCAACAATGCAGCGGAAATGCAAGAAGTGAAAGATAGAGAAAATCATCTGGTTTGAATGTGTTCCCCTTCCCCAACCGAAGTTTTTTTCTTTTTTTTCTTTTTTTTTTCTTTTATTTGAATTTACTTTAAATCTCCAAAAAGGGAAAAGCTTAACTGAAACGGTACTTTCTCAGCTTTACTGTGACTCGTGGTTATCACGGCTTTGGGATCCACACGGCTGTACCTCTTAGCGGTGAATCCGGAATGTCAGATATAGGAAAGGGACTGTTATTAGAGTGGGGGTGGGGAGGTAAAAATGCAATATTAATAATGATTTATAATGTGATCACTTATGATGTAGTGAGGTAACAGCTTAGCTACTGTTTTCTGCAAGTTAATTAAGGCGGATTTTAAAACGACACGGTCTGAGAGGAAGTAAACAGAAGCAGATGTGAGTTTACAAGAATCACAGCAGTTGCTATAATATATATATGTTCTATTTATTGCTCTACACATTGGTTTTATATTTAACCTTTTCTATTGTTATTACATGATTAAAAGTATATTGTTGTTTCTTAAGATTGAGAGAAATATTGCACCTCAAGAAACAAAAATGGCTCAAGAATGTCGGAGGGAACGCATAAAGCCTTCCTGCTCCATTTCTTTGATTTTTTTTTTGATTTTTTTTTATTTTAGGTTTTGTGTTGTTCTGTGACCAAAATGTGATGGCCAGAGGAGACGGCACACGCTGAAGACGGTTTATCGGTTTCACGTCAACACCTGAATGTCCCTGATTTTTAATGTTAGACGTGTGTTTGGTGACGGCCGAGGCGGCGTTCAGAGAGGAAGTGGATCAAAGGGAGGATGAGAAAGGCTCTAAATTCAGATTGTGAAGGGTGATGTGTAAGTGTGTCGAGAAAAGAGATGTGTTTTAGTCTACATTAGGTAGAGATTCACAGAGAAGTCGGCGTATGACTGAAAACAGGCGGTTTTCAGATTCTTTCCGGTCAGTGAATGCACCGTACCCAGGCACTACCGGGGCTTGTTAACAGTAACTTCCTGTGGAAGTTGTTACGGAAAGAAGACTCTTACCTGGCTGTTTTCAGGACAGCAGAGACATTTAAGGGAAATCAGAGGAAGTGTGTGAGATGTTTTAAGCTGTGTGAATGAAACAGTAGGTTCTATGGCGGTTCAGTCCTGTTGCTAATGACTTTAAAAATCTCAAAACATCCAGAATGTGAATATTCATTCAGTGTTTAGAAGTATGGTAGGTTTCCAACATTCACTTCTGTTTGTTGATGATCTGATTAAGGAATTCAGATGTTATTACAGTGTAACAACAGAAACTCAATGGCTCAGCGTGTCACCTTTAAACCTACAGGTTGTGCTTGTTGTGATTTGTTTTGGAGTTCAATATCAAGGCCTTCTCATTATGTTATTCATTACTTGCTCCTTTGTAATGAGAAATGTGTCATTTAACAAGATGATTTGGCTTAAAAACACTGATTATAACAGACTAGCATGAAGTGTAAATTAAATTAGGAGTGACTAAAACCTTTAATTTACAAATCATAACAGTGTTGACTCCTTTAAAATGAAAAGAGTCATCCTTCTCTGAGGAGCAGATTGTTGTTTTATAAATGCTAACTGGGCTAATTAGCATTACCTAACGACAGTAAATATTTCAAACCCCGCCAAAGACAAATCGTTTTGTCTGAATCTGAAATCGGCCACAAACCTCTGATCGGTGCACCTCTACCTGAATGTCGATGACGAACCGACCCCTGACCCCTGACCCCTGACGTCTTCGGCCCGTGCCGTCTCCTCCGGTCTGGACTCTGTGTGTTTGCAGTTGTTGCGTCGTCATGTCCTCCAGACCGACAAGGTTTTAGAAATTCCCCTTGATTTCTCTGTCTCCAAACGCTGTTGGGGAAGCCTGATGGTTTCACTTCACTCACTAGGTCAAAAACTTCTGAGTCTAAAAGACAGAAAAGACAAAGACAACCTGTTGTGTTTTTAGCATCTGGCTTACACACACCGAGGGTATCAGGGGAGTTGCTCTGAGGCAGAGAAAACATTATTCCAGTATATTTATTATTTGAATGTCTTTGGATAACTTGAATTTGTTTTCTATTTAATTTATTTGTTGTCTTTTTTTGTTGTTTGTTTTTGTTTTGGGCCTTTAGCAGTAAGACGAGGTTGTAGTCATGTTTTTTTTTTTGTTATAAAAAATAAATGTTTTCTTTTTTTCTTTGGTTAAAGGTACGTCTTACACACAACCTCTTACCTGTTTTCTGCTGCTCTTAAGTCCATATGCTTTACTGTTGCACTACCATTAAACTGCAAATAGCTAGCAAACCCGCTTTATGGCAGAAAGTTCAAAAAGGAAAAGAAGCAAAAAAATAAATATATAAAAAAGTGGACGGTGCTGGCCTGCATGCTGTAGTTCTCCTCCGTCCATCAGCCCCGAGTCAAAATGGCGCTCTGAACTCCGATGAAAAATACTCGTGTGTGTGATCGACGCGGCCTGTCTGGTAGCCGGGAAAAGTCCAAATCCCACCCAGCTGGCACCCCTGACAGGCTCAAGGAAGCGCTCTCAAGTATTTGGAAGGATTTCAGCTTTGACTTGACTCAGGTCGGCGAGCAGCTGAGGAGTTCTAGCTGTGTGCGAACATGTTAACGCCAAAAACCATTAGAGAAAGAAAGAAACAACGACCAGAGTTCATGAAATACGGCTTTGTAGCTTTGAACACAGCACTTTTCGCATCCCATCACTTTTGATACGATTCAGAGGAATTTGATTCAGCCCTGCTTTAAAGCAAGATTTTTAGCTTTTTTTATGTTTTTAAAGAAAACAAACGACGATTTTTAACTAATAAACAAATCTCCAGATACAACCATTTGGCTTTGACGCGGCTCTGATGTCCAGATTTGACAGACGTGGCTGAAGCGTGCAGCAAGTCGGCCGGCGGTGAGGCAGTTTAGAAACCCAAACATTGGTCGTTAATTGCACTGAAAGGTTTTTCTTCCTGTGAGCCTCCAACTCTCGGTGTTTGGGCGGATTCTGGGGTCAGGCGCGAAGAACTTGACTTGAGATGATGAAGAGTGTTATCGATATTAATCAGTGTGCCCTTACCGTGGCAGACCTCTCAGAAAGCCAGTTTCTGCTTCCTCACAGCTTTTACAGGATCCCTCACCACCATCATCACATCATCATCATCATCGAACCAAACGGCGTGTGAAATCCGGGACGCCGCGCTGCCGGCGGTCCGTCCTGAAAGCTGCTGCTGTTTGTAACTTTCGTCTCCCAGCCCCACCGCGCCGACTCCCGTTGCGTCTCGGCTGCTCTGCGTTCATCTCGTTTCGTTGACATCGGCTAAAAATTCACCCGATGCTCGCCGCGCCGCTGCCAAAACAGCTCGCGTTTGAAACGGATTGAACCGAAGAGATGAGACTTCCTTTCTGCAGCAGATTCCTCCCCCGGTTTACCTCTGTCAACCTGATTATTAACAGCATGAGAGTCATCTATTGAGTTTAGAAACAGCAAACATGTATAAATACTTCGGCGCCATGTCCATTACACACTGTAGCTGAGCGGTAGTGAGAGGGAAGGCCGTGTTTCCGAGACAGGAAATGACAGCAGAGCGGATCAAGCAGCCTTTCTGTCCTTTATGCCGTCAGGTTGCCGTGGTTTGGGCCTGAGAGGCCACAAGGATGTGAGAACAACACATTACCATCAACATGGAGCTGTTTTTTATTATTATTCTGTACATCCTTAGTATTTTTACACATAAGATGTATCAGATAGGGATGCACATTATTTTCCTTCTTACAGACGGCTTCAATAAAGCACTATGTCAATCTGCTGAGCTGTGGTGAATTTCTTTCATTTGTCTTTAATGGATGGGTGTTTTATTTTCTGTGCCCTCTTAACAAACGAGTGTAAGGGAATTGAATCATATCTTTAAGTGTAAAATTGAATTATACACAACTTTTGCAGTTTGTTTAATTTTTTTTAAATCTTTACTTCCTGGTGTTAAGTCTCTCAAAACTTAATGTTTTCTCGTTAGAGCTACAAATTTGCATATGTGTTATTGCCAAAAAGGTCTGAAAGAACAAGGGAGCCTTTAATGTCTGAAACTAACATTAAGACTACTCATAAATTATCATATATGATTAGGCCTGAATGTAATCTCATTTATTTACAAAACTGACAAAAATATGCTTTTGTCAGTTTACGCGTGCTACAAGACTTTATTTTTTACCTTTCTATTACATTTACAAAAGTCCCATAACTCCATATTTGACAATGTAATCAACAATTCTCCACTTAAATACAAAAGCCAACAAATTTCAATAAAAAGTTTCATGAGCAAAAGAATATTTCCAGTTTTATGAAGTTTAACTCATTAAAAAAAAAAAAAAATATATATATATATATATATATATATAAAAAAAACATGGTTCATCAGTATCACATGTTTCAGATAATTGCGTTTGACTGCAGAGGAGTATAGGACATGACATATACGGCTACAAAGTCCTCAGTAAACGCATCTAGCCTTTAGAGAGGATCTTTGCATGGGAAGGATTTTTCTGAGAGTTGCAGTGAAATAAATGTATATTAAACATACAAAAAAGTGTTTCGCCTTTATAAATACAGACATCCCTTTTATGAACTACTGGATTAGCTGCCACTGTCCATCATTCTGTGTTTTGTCTCTAATCTGTTTTGCTGTGAACACTATTGTAACGCCGCTGTGATTTTACAGCGCAAAAGCAAAAAGGGAAGGGAAATTTTGACAATGACAAATTCTGAGATTGTTTGCAGTAGAAACAATATTTGATAAAATTGACAGGTCAACAGGATAACCCAAACTCCCATAAACAAGATGAGAAGAAAAGCAAATCAAGTCATTTTAAAAGTATTGCTTTGGGTTTTATTAATGTTGAGCACCGCAGTCCTTGATACCTCACAACTTAAACACATCATTCACAGTGAAAGTTACATAAAAGTCATCCTGATGGGGATTAGAGTAGAAAAACTGTCCTTTCCGAAAGACTGAAGAGGAGGAGCCAGAACCGATGTGCTCATGTGCTCACTGGTTCATTTCGTCTCAGATTGGGTAACTAGAAAAGTAAAAAACAAAAACAATGATTAATACCAACACATTGTGTGTGTGAACAGCTCATCAAGTAATGATGCAAAGCAGAATAAAGAAACCTTCCACAAATCCACAATCAGATGATTCATTAGTTTAAACATGGCAACACTTTGACTTCTTCCTTCAGAGTGAAGTCGACTCCAGATTTATTTAATTGGTGATCAGTTTGTGGTGTGTGTTCGTACCTCGATGCGTAGGTTCTGCATCTCCTCACTAAGCGCGTTTCTTTCCTGCATCAGCTGGCTCTGTTTGGCCAGAAGCTCACACACCTGCTGGGCGCTGCTCTGACAGTGTCGGTCCAACTGCTGCAACCTGCAACACACACAGAGTACGACTTTCTATCTTCACTAAGACTTAGCACAGACTTCCATTTACACAGCCTAAAACCCCACATCTCAGGGCTCTAACCCACAACCCTAAAACAGCACTTCCACAGGCTTTGGACTCCGTCAGAAGCGGTGGATCCTCACTGTAGTATTTGGGCCTTACACGGTAAGAAATGCTAAAACACACACACACACACACACACACACACACACACACACACACACACACACACACACACACACACACATAGGGGCTGACTGGAAGAGCAGGGGAATAACCAGCTCTCCTGGCGAATATAAAACAAAATGTTGTAAATATTGAAACGGAGCTGGATCCACAAAGAGCTTCTAATTTCACCGGACTTTGTGTTGATCAAACAAACAACACTGCTGACAAGGAGACGACGGCACTGTCTTTGAAAGAGGAAACGTCGGCCAGATGTGTTTGAGACAGCGGAGGTGAACATCAAGGATCCGCATCGTCTGATGGAGCTAATGGAGGATTTCAGGTAAAGAAATCATCTTTTAGCAGGAGTTGATCGATGATCTTAGGAAAAGGAAACATTAGTGATGTGCATGAGGCAATTAGATAAAAACTAATTATCTCAGTTCAACTTTTATATACTTCAGATGATGAGAATACCTTCTACGATTCAGGATAAATATTTTAAGCAAACCTAAAGCTCTGGGATTGTGTGAGGAGGTGAAAGGTGAGCAGTTTGCACGAGACTCGCCACCAACCAGACGTTCAGGAAAAAGAGTGTTAGAGGAATCAAAATGAAGAATCCGCTAAGAGTAGAAGATGTTTGCAGTAAAATAAAAAACATTTTCTTAAAGGTTATAAAAACTAAGCCGCAAAATTTGACAAACCTCTGTTGTTAGGGAACTGTGAAAGAATAAGAGAAAGTGATAAAATTTAGTTCAGAAGTTTTTAACCTTTACGATCCAATTAGCCATTTTTACTCTCGGCTCAGGAAAACAAAACAAAAGCTTTTTAAAGCCACAAATGTTACATTACATTTTGAAAAGAGGCATTTTCTTGTTTTTGATGACTATCTATTGTTGGACATTTTGAGTAACCAACATTGTATTTATATTTTCAGGTTTTATAATAAAAGTATAAAATTTTTGCAAAAAAAGCACATTATTTTCAACCCCTAAAACGAAACGGCGAGTGAAACGGTTCAAGCTGAAAGTCTAGGAAACAAGCAGATATTTTCAATAAAATATGATGGACTCATAGTAAGACAGAAGCTGCTACAGCAAACAAAACATGAACATTACTACAGATGTCCAATACTTGCATATATGAACTTTTTATTTGAAAACTGTTTTATTAGTCTTCTACAAAGTCTTCCAGTCCAAAATGCATGACTTATTTATTTATTTATTTATTTTTTACACAAAGAGAGCTGTAGGAATGTGTGTAGTTTCACCAAAACATCCCAATTAGTGCGTCCCCTCTGACACAGCGGCTCCTGCAGACAATGAACCCTTTCACTGCTCACTGGGATTAGAGTGTGTGTGTGTGTGTGTGTGTGTGTGTGTGTGTGTGTGTTTCTGCTGTGGCTGAAGGGTGAGGCTGGAAAAATAATGTATTTGGGGAAAGAATCTTCCTGAACATTTCCTACCAGCAGCTCAGTGTTGAACCCATCCAGTCAGTCAGTCAGTCACCCCTCTTATAAAGAATCGATGAACACACTTCCTTATAAAGAGACAGGGAAGCCCTCAGCTGGTCAAACTCACACGGAGGTATAGAATACATTTACCACTCCTACATTTGTCTTATGATGGTCATTAAAAATGTTAAATGATTCATATTCACGATAATATTTACTATTGAACAGGCTATAGGAGAGGTTAATGGGCTGTACAAAACATTCTTTATTTTTTTTTTTTGTACAATATTCTTACGTAATTCTTAGATAATGAGATCTCGGTCTGGTCAATTGTGTCACTTTAAATCCAAATATGCAGTTTCTGGCCACGCCCCCCGCCAGACCCCGCAACTCAATGTTTACCTTCGCAGGGGAAAATGGCTGCAAACAGGTGTGCAATTATACAACTGTACACCTTTGAAAAGCAGAAGTGGCACCTTCTGCACAACCAACAAGAATACAGTAAGTTGTTTCTGGATGTTAAGTGAACAACAAAACGCTTGTCTTTTCCAACAGCCATTGTACAGCAGTAAAACCAGCTGCTGTCCAAAAGCACTAGAGCTCCGCTTCAATTGCTAGCTGCCTGCTGATTGTGACTCAACATTACAAAGGTTTTTGAAACTTGTTGCCAGAAAACAACTGTTTAATAATAATTATTATTATTATTAATTATTATTATTATTATTATTTTAGGTGTTTACTTGTTTTCAGAATCAGCAGAGAACCAAATGGAAGTACAAAAGCTGAATCTTGTATAACATGTCCCCTTTAAAGAACGGAAGCCAAGCTAACTACTGCTTCAGGTTCAAATGGCAGCAGCCAGGAAGATAGTTAGCTACGGAGGAGGAAGAGGAGGATGATGAGGGTTTTGGGCTTGGGGCGAGCGGCCCTACCCTGCTGGTCATGTTGGCAGCGGCTGGCCCGCCTCCCTGCCTCGGTGTGACAGACGGAGGAGGCGAACATCCCAACTCTGCTACACAATCTGCTCCCTGCTCCCCCTCCCTCACCAGGCCCTGCATGCTCTCCACTTTAATCCTCCTCTACCTCTTCATTTGGAGACCCCGACACACACACATCTTCTTCAGCATCATCCTCCTTACACACTCTCAGCGTTAACCTGCCCTCCGCCTGAGGGAGTGTTTTATCCCAGACCTGCGGCTCGGTCCGGTTTCTGGAGGCCGAGGGCGGCGACCCTCCTCCCCGCCTGGCGCTCCTGCAGCCGGCTTCCAAGCTGTCCTGACCAGCCGCCCCCTCGCTCCTTCCTCCCACTCTGCCTCTCCCTCCTACGCCACTGCACAGCACGACATCACACAACCATCACACACACACACACACGGAAAGAGTCCAAAGCAGCGATGTTCTGCTCACGAAGAGCGGCAGACATCAGCCTAAAGGTCAGAAACAGAGCCTGTTGTTCTGTAAAGGTTTGATGAGGGAAGTGTTGAGAATGTTCCGACTGCAGACCTTCAGCTCCACACCACCGAGCTAATCTGAGTCACACACACACACAGAAAATGTCAGTCTTTATCCAGTTACAGCTTCCCCTTACCGAAGCACAGAAATCCACCCGACGCTGCCAGTCGATCAAAGAGAAACTTCCAGAAGCTCGTTGCGGAGAATTTGTCGCGACGAGTGGCGGGATGTAAAATCCGCTCTGGGTTTGTGACACGGTGAGAGATGCATGAAAACGTTTCGCCAAGACAAGTTTTACACTTTGTCTTCTGCTGGAGAAAAATGTGACACTGCAACAAAGGATTTATTGTCAGTCTGGGAAGTCATTCCTCCGAAGTGAACCAGACGACATCCTGCCAAGACAAACAGAACCAGAATCTGTCGTCGCCAAGGATCACAATGCGACTTCTTCTTCTGGTTTTATGCAGAAGATTTTCAGCTGTAAGGAGTCTGATCAGCCCCTCAGTACAGGCAGACGCAGCATTACCACACGCAAGTGCCATTATTTACCCAATAGTTCAAATTGTATGTCACGACAACAGTCATAAACATTCATGAAGACTCCTTCATGTTTATGACAGATGTTATGTCATCCATATGACAGCATCATGTCTGTCTTCACGCACTGACCTTCAAATGTATTCATCGTCTTTTTGTAAAAGTTGTATATGTCTCTGGATCGTAAAGGTTGCAGACCCCTGGTCTTTCCCATGAAACCCCAATAAAAACACTTTGAGGTAACGTGACACAGTGTGAACATGTTTGTGTAAAAGGCCGGTGGGCTCCGCCTCAGCCCAGCCAGTAAATCAGTCGGTCAGGTCGTGGCCTGAGATGTTTAAACCGGCGGCAGGTTGTAAGCTGCAGGTTTATGTAACGCGGTGAGTAAAAGCTGTGACCCGGCTACGCAGATGACCAAACGCGCCGTGTTTGTCGGAGCGGAGAGCTGCCAACCTCTGGCCTCGCTCTAATCCACCTCATCTCACCTTCGTGCTCTGCCCCCGAGAGGCAAGGCGAGTGTGTATGTGTGTGTGTGTGTGTGTGTGTGTGTGTGTGTGTGCGCGCGCGCGCGTATGATTAAAGTAGCGCTCCTTCCAGCCGCTAAAGCAGCAAATCCAATAACTGGCCTCCATCGACTGGCACACTCTTTAATTAGGGCTTAATACAGCCTAATGCGCAGACACTGCCCCTCACTAATCCACACGCACACGCACACACACACACACACACACTCAGCTGGCTGCGCTGCTGGGAAGTGAGAAGGAGGGCTGGAAGCTTGGACGGATTTGCGGATTGACTGAGTTGACGGGGTCTGCGGACGGTGAAAGATGAGGGTTGATGATATGCGGTCTCAGACACGGAGAGGCAGCGGTCTCCAGCCGCCGCCCTGTTGCTGCCTGCCGGCCGGCCGGCTGGACAGCGGAGAGCTCGGGGTCACACGGGGAGAGCTTCCTTCCTGACCTGGGGAAACGACACCACCTGCTGGAGCCAACAATTCACTTCAATCTGCACTGAAATCAGTAGAAAACCCTACCAGAAACAGTCTGCAAGGCCACGTTCACACAGCAGGTCTTGATGCTCAATTATGATTTTTAAAAAATTTTTTTTTATAAAATCCGATTTTTTTGCACGGTTGCTCATACTAATTAAACCCGACCGCAACGGTTTTAAAGCCCCAAAGTGAACAGTATTCACGTCTCACATCAATGACATAAAAGCTGGTTAAAATGCAACTGCAGACATTTTGCAAACAACCAGATTCGCATCCGACTTACTACCACATTGGCACAGATCGGATTTTTTTTTCGGGGGGTGTGGGGAAGCGGAAAGATCAGAATTGGACCGTACAGACTGCGGTGGAAAAGAAGGATATAGGTCG